ACACCATTACGGTCATATGATTTCCTTTGTTTAAACTTGATCAATTACTAATGAGTTTGAGAAAGTGACTTCCCGAAAAGAAAATGAATGGAATGATTGGAACACCAAGACACCTTCTCGGAGAGGAGTAGTGGAAAATTTCCACTTTGAACAAATGAAGTTGCTTTACCTTCACCTTTTATACACCGGTACAAGGAAAAGAATTTCACCATAATCATCGCATTATCATGGTTTGTTTCTACAAGTTCTGTTTCAGAACCAAAATTAAATTGTAGGTATACCTTTCATTCTGAACTTTATCCAACCCATCTTCTTTGCAAACTCAAACTTCGCTCCAACGAGCCACAAGACACAAAGAAGAACTCCACAAACGATTACTGCACGGACGTATGTTGGAAACTGCGGGTCAAACAGACTGCCTGACCGCTCCACGGACATGCTCTTAGGTGTAATCTACAAGGAAAAGAGACCAAAATGGTAGGGATGAGAACACTGGACCGGTGTATGACATTTTCAAAACTACAGACCGCTCGTTTGAACTTCTTGAACTTTCAGTTCGGGCGAAGAGACTTCTATTCCGGGCAAACTGACATCGGGTGAACTGCTATCGGGCAAAAGGTTACGTTCCCATTTTCATCATCGAGAGCTAACCGTAAACAGGTTAACCTGAGCGCCATTCGGGCTTACCGAAGGTCTATTTAGGCCTAAATGTAGTCTGCAGTCTGCGGTCTGCAAATGCCATACACCGACATTGGTCATATACCCAACGGTAAACGAATAGCGGCCTCGGCATTTTTTGTCATGGGCTTGCCATTGAGTTTAATCATGTTTTGAAGTTAACTTATCTCTAACGCCTGAAAATGAAGGGATTAGCCTTGAAAGACAAGCACTATTTAACCGGAAACGCGACTCTCATGTGAAAAGGCTGGAGATGCTTGTCGTCTCGCATAGGGGTGTGAATCAAGGATTTTGGTCTCACTCAGAGTGTGCAGGACGAAACGCTATTATTTTGTCTTTTCGGGTTCCACCAAATAATAAAGGCAAAAAAAAAATATATATATCCGTTTTAAAGTAATATCTTTTAGGGGTTACAAGCATTTCGAGCCGCGCCGAGCATGCCCGACCTTTTCACCCGGAAGTCCGCACGGATCTATTTGCTAATTTCTTTGAACTTAACTCCAAATCGAAGTATTGACTCAAATCTAATGCGACGTACCTCAATCGTCTCAACGTTTTCCTCAACAATCTTCGAAATCTCAGAACGTTGCTCGCTAACGTATTTCTGCAAACACTGCTGTAGCTTCTTGGCTTCTCCCCCCAGCACCACCCCGTAAGCAGCTTTGTAGTCCAGTAGTTTACTGATTCTCAGGTCTCGCCGGTTAAACAGGTGCTTCTTGCTTCCGACTGTAAAAGCGTCGATGAGCATTCCTTTGACCTCGCGATTAGTAAGCGCATCGTAAACCTCTTGCAGATTAGTGTATTCCTTTCCTGTAACATGGAAAAGTAGCATTTCTCAAAACTTGGCATCTTCCGAAGCGTGCAATTCCCGAGTGTGGCCGAACTAGCGTTTTCCTGCGCTTTCTTTCAGCTGCGTGGAGTTTTGATTGGTTCAACAGTTTGTCTGCGTCCGTTGTGATTTTGGCCACAGAGATTACTTGGTTTTAGTTCAATTATATTTATTTAACTTAACATTGTAACAACGGAAAGCTGAGTTACCCAACGCACTGTAAAAAAGAGGTATGTACAGTACTCTAAGCACATTTAAAGTCGGAAAAAGACGACGTCTAATTAATTGGCAAATCCGAGCAAACAAAGTAATTGTTACCCGAGGGTCTGGATAGGGCTTAACTGAGTCAGCTATGAATTGGTCAAAAATTTACTGTTAGCTGAGAAATCCAGCGTTTTTTAATTCATATCTAAATCCGAGGTCTACAAAATTTACTGATAGCGAAGAAACGGGCTGAAATTTCAAATGATAACTGAGAAATCGTGAAAACTGAAACTGATAACTAAGATTATAGTACCCCCACCCAGACCCTTTTATCTAATATAACACTGAGATTTATCTCAGAAAGACTCGGACGGGAAGCCGGCACTAAGCAAGCCAGGTCATCAAACTTACCATTTGGGTTGACTCGGGCATTTTTCCTGATAGCGATACGATATCCGGACGAGTTCTGAATGGCAGCGATCTGAAAACGAAGGGAATAAATTATTTTACTTAGGAGGAGGGGAAGACAGGGGGTTCTTAGTTCTTAACCCCGTATTAACTGACTCGCTCCTCTTTCTAAACCTGATGTAATGCAAGATATTACGCGACCTTGTAATTCTTATCTGTATTTCTCCCAATTTTTGCAACCTTTTGAATGCCACTCTTTTCCCCCTCCCTAAGACTTCCCGTCCCCTGCACTCCGACGTCAGCTGACGTGGTATTTTTTTAAGATAACGACACATCGGCTAAGTAATTCTTGAGAGCTGGAAGCTTTGAAGAAGTTCTCGCTGGCTACACCTTCAAAATTCGGGGGAGGAGAACGGGCTCCTTTCCCTAACAGCGGCTGGTAATCGAGTCTAACTTATGTATGGATACGGCAAATCCTGTTTTTCTATTGACAGTGCTATGCTTTCGAAGTTTATTTCTGATTGTTAACTCCAAAACACACCTTTGTTCCATATAAGGGCACATCTCTGTCCAAGATTCTCGCAGTTAGCAGCGTTGTCATGGTGGAATTAAAACACGTGACCATGACCAGGCCTAACAAGATCCAAGATAAACAAACCAGCCGACCAAATGGCGTTTTGGGGATCCGGTCACCGTATCTGGAGACGAAATATGAAAATGAAAGCATTATTAGTTGACCGCAAAAAGGTCGTTTGTTGGTTTGTGCCGCTGAAACAGCAGACAAAGATCAGCTTGCGTTAGCAAGTTAGGTTTGATGGTACCTCAGACACGCAAAAGCGAATCGGCATTTTCGAAACCATGGAAAATAGGATTGAACAACTAACAATAACTAAAACCCGTTACTGACAAGTTTCTCATTATTTAACATGTAAATGTGGCNCAGTTGTAAGTTAAGCGTTTTGCGTCAGGTCTGATTTTGTGACGAACTTGAGAGTCAAACCTGCCCAATAGCAGGGGACTTACCACAAACCACATGGCTAAGCTAGACACCCACAGCATGGCAATGGACAGGAACAGTATCGGAAAGCAAAACGCCAGCGATTTCAGCAGCAGAGTTGCAGCGGTGCCTTTTTCATCTCCGATGATGATCAGCGCTAAGCCTGGTGACTGGACAAAAGGAACGAAACCATAGTTGTCGGAGAAACGAGTCTGATCCATAAAGCCATACACCGGAAATTGGAACTCAGTGTTCTCTTCAAAGTTTCCTTTGAACTGTACGAGCCCTGATTTCTTTGCAGGACGCCCCGAGGCAGTGTGGTCGAAGTCTACCCGTGTGGTCCCATGGTCTGTGCAATTTCCACAGCAGGCATAAACAGATTCTTTTAAGATGGGTGTGATAATTCCGCTTTTGTTTGAGTCCGGTCTGTCCACGTAGGGAGGGTTGATCCACCAGTTGGTGAAAACAGTACTGTGGCAATTGCAGGTTTCTGGAGGAAAAAAAAAGAAAAAAAAAAACCCACTCATTTTCGACCCAAGCAACAATAAAAGAGCGCGAACTAGATGGCTCTTTAGCACATTGACAAACTGGTTAATGACTGGAAAAAATCATTCTGTCCAAATCTCTGGGATGGACACTCGCATGTGAACTCGACGATATATATATTTTGAAGTGAACATTGTTTAAAAGAAACTGCCAATCAATCATAGTCCAACTTGTGGCTTCAAACTGTGTGAATGCGCTGAATATTGTCGACCACGTTTGCCAAAAATGGAAGCCACACCTATCAGCCAAGTCATAAAACAGCCATCAAAAATATTTTATTCAACTCAGGTGAACGGGAATCGAAAACTTTGATTCTTGTTTGGTTCGTATTTGGGAAATATTGGAATTTCCTCTCTTGGAATGAGTCATAAGTAAAACCTTCACAAAAGGCGGATCTAAATCGCACTCCCTCCCTTCCCCCAGAAACTGATAATTAAAAAAAATTACCAAAAAGCCTCCACGACCGCGAGCACGTTCGTATTTTGAACTTCATTATTAGTAAATTAACAAGAGTGAGAAAAATTACCTGCTTTTATCGGTGTACTCTTAACGCCATCACCTTTCACCGTAAATGCCAGAACTTCAATACTATATCTTGTGAATGCATTCAAATTCTCAAGAACAGCCGACAAATTGGAACTTGGAACTGTCACTTGATTCGTTTCCAGTTCCTCCTCGAGGTGCTCGTTTGCAATAGCTATGGCTTTGTAAATCACTTTGTAACCGCGCAGTATACCGTGGACGTAGAATTCGTCGGGGATTGGGTTCCATCGGACCACAATCTTTGTGGGGTGTGTCTTATTCAGTGCTCGAACGTTGATAGGAGATTGGCTAGGAGCTATGGAAACAAAGAGAAAGTGTCTTCCTTATAATGTACACGACCATGAAGTAAAAATCGTTATTTAGCACGGGTGCAGGTGTTCGGCATATTTATTTCTCGATCACCTTTTCAATTTGTGTCTTTTTCGTAAACAAGACCTAGGAAAACTAGTCTATACCACTTTCCACTTACAGAGTACTTTAAGCTTGAGTACGAGATCGACTACGAGAATACCTTTTCATTAGCGGTTTTGTACGGCAGCCACGTTGCATGGCAAAAACAATAGATTCTTTTTCCTATTGGAAAAAATGCTATTTCTAATGCAATACATTTTCTTTGTTCCTGCCATGCAACATGGCTGCGTACAAAACCTCTATCCTAGTTTGTAGACTCCTCATTATCACTTCACATACCCATCTCATCCCATGAACTACTCAACGTACCTAAAACAAACATGAACACCGAGATCTCTGGAAAATTCACAGGTTTAATTTGAAATTGAAATAACCTACTCGTAGGCTAATCTAGAGGTCCCTTATCCTAAGTCTCATTGTGAAAACAGATTTTTAGCCAGTGGCCTTCGATTAACTCTTAAAAAAATAAATTATTTTCTCAGAAAGTAAGCTCGCTATTGTAGAGCTTGTGCTGTACTTATTCGTCAGTTGTGTGTCGTTTTAGTAGCTTGGGAAACTTTAAATTTCATTTAACGACCGTAGTTTGTTTTCATTTACATTCATATTGCTGTCTCTTCAAATTGCAACTATGACTGTTGTTGAATCGCAAAATTTCGTCCAATGCAAAGTTCTATCCTTGCCCTCCTGAACGTAAGCCCAGTGGAAACGAGTAACAAGGTGATCAGTAGTGATCTGCTTTTGAATCGTGGTTAAATTGAGGTTATCTCTGTCTCTCCGTCAGCCTGGAGATAATTTTCGGGATTTTACGCTGGATATAACTAAATAGAACTTACTAAATTCATCTGTTGACACTTCCAATTCCTTGCTAACAGCACCCTCTCCAGCCGCGGTGAAGCCAAGAATTTGTATCTTATATTTGGTGTAAACCCACAGATCTTTTAAGTGGAGAGAGTTTTTGTCGGGGGTAATTTCTCTTATCTCGTACGTCTCACGTGATTCGTTGGATCGCCAGAAGAGCACTCTGAAGCCCAATAGGATTCCATGGACAAAGTCACGTGGTATATCGCTCCATTCTACCAGGAGGCTGGTGTGGCTTGTGTTCCGAGCCTTCAATCTTATCACGGGTTTACTGGGCACTAGAAGCGGAGATACGAATCTCTGTGAAATTCATTTGACTTTGCATTTCCCAAAACAAAACAATATTGAGAATAAACTAGCTGCTTATGAATGTTGTCCCTAAGGCTTCCTAAAATTAAAAAAAGTATGGAGAGGCCACCAAAGAACGTCATTACTAAAACAACATTTTCCATTTTTCAAACAAAAAAAGGCGAAACAGGGAAAAGAAGAGACTACTTTCAAAGTAATCTGAAATGGAAGGAAAAGTCTGCATACGAGCCAAGTGGCCCATCAGGCCGGAGTTTATCTCGGTTTCTGTAGCATGAAGCGACCAGGAGTATTTCTACTCCAGCCTGGACGGGATGCTAGACAAATTCCAAACACCTACTTAGGATTTCAATTTTATCGTACCGAGTTAAAAAGCCAAGTTATTATATGGCTAGCTCCGTGAGTGGGCAAGATGAATCAAATCCTGCGCTGTGATTGGCTACCCGAGCGGGCAAGATGGAGCTATCTTGCCCGCNGTCTCGGTCCATAAACACGCAAAAAAAAGAACTTGACCAATATCCAGCCATCTTGACCTCAGACTTGGTCAATAATCCATACGTATTCAGACCAAGTCACATGACTTACCATCCTCACTGGTCCTAATCTCTAGCGGTTGTGGAGGGTGAGGTCCCAGTCCTTTGCTAGTGTATCCGGCCACTTTAATGACGTACCAAGTGTATTTCTTCAAGTTGGAAAGTGTTGTTGATGATCTGGTGCTCTCAACGGTTTTATGTTTGACTGCTTGGTAAGACTTTTTTGGATAGTAGGTAATTCTGTAGCCTTGGAGAATGCCATTTCTATGTCCCCGAGGAATATGCCGCCACTCCACAAACAGAGATGTGGAACTCTTGTTGAAACCAGTGAAATTTTCAGGGAAAGCATCTGGTTCTGTGAACCAAAGTGGGCGTAATTGTTAAAGGGCTTTCTCAAAGTCATTAATAATTCTTCAAGTTGCAACGCTGTGTGGATTTTCTGCGTTGTATTTCTCCGTTTTCTCCTTAGTTTTAGTTTTGATTGAGAAGATGTATCAAATACGAGGAACCGTTTTTCACCACATTACAAACATCTCGAAACTCTTCAAAAATATTACTGCGCTGTACGCCAAAATTTTCAACTGTCTTCTGGGCGTTTGGAAATGTGGTAAGACTCGGTATGTCGTGTTTGATATTACTTCTGTGCAAGGTAACGTTTGCCCACGATGAATTTTGCTAATGAACTTTAGCAGAAACTTTCCGTGCTTCATTCAAAGATTTGCTCTTCAGTGGTCAGCGACAGTCAGCGCTCGCGATGATGTATCCATCTTCATTGTTGCTGAAAATGGAAATTCAAATCACGCTTTTGTACTTGAAGAAAACATTTGGATAGTGAACGTGAGATCTGCTGATGCCTAGAGCAGAAATAGAAAGAAAAGGAAGGACAAAACTTTTCAGTCTACCAGTAGATGTCTATTGTAAAAATCGTCAATAAGCAAGTGAAATTCGAGTATCGTGTGGGGCTGGTAATTTCATCATTCGTTTCAGGGTAAATTTTAGTAGTATCACCCTTATGCAACCTAAACACACTAAAAACATCACATATCATATCACATAAGGAACATCAAAATCTTACTGTCTTCAGCGGTCGTGATTTCCACACATTTGCTTTCAATTCCGCTTCCTTTACTTGTAAGTCCCTCAACAGATACCATATACGTTGTGAACTTGCGTAAATCGGAGATAACCACAGACGTGGTGGACTGATTAACCACAGATTCATTCCATTTTCGATTGTTGCCGAGGTCCGTTGCTAGGTAAGATACTTTGTAACCAAGGATAATACCGTGTGTAAAGCGCGGAGAGATTAGGTTCCAACGGACTTCTATGCTTGTGGATGTGAGGTTGTTGCCTGTTACATTTGCTGGAGGTTTACTGGGAACTAATAAAAACAATGAATCAAAATGTTAATTATTTTCATCAGTGACATTGTTGCAATGTTTCCCTTGTTGTCTAGTCAGTCTACCCTGCAGTCTGCGCTGAAGAAAAAACAGTTTTGCTTCTCCGTTTAATCGATACAGTTGGACAGCGCTAACTCAAATTCGGTTATTTCGAGTTCCTCGTTATTCCGAACTCAAAACCAATTCTTTTTGATTCGCCCTCCAGTCATTTACCATCGGCTATTTCGAGTTATTAAAAACTGAATTATTGGATAATGCAATTCCAGAGCCATCATGGGCTATGAACCATTATAGCATGCTCTACAAATATGCTAAGCGTGCGCGTGATGTTTTGGGGCGTTTTTATTTTTATTTTAGTTAAGTTTAGTTTTGCATATTTTGGGGGCGTTTTTGATAAAACAATTATTCCACTCGCGTTTGTCGGATATGAGATGATTACAGTCAACTCGCCGCTACGCGCTTCATTGGCTGTCTACCATTTCATATCAACGCACGCTCGGAATAATTGTTAAATATTTCTCGTTTCTCATGAGAGTTCGAAGTAACGGAATTCAACTGTATGTCAAAGTCGTGACATTGTCTCATCGCATTTAACGTAAGGACCTCTCAGTCAAATATTTTCACGTCCGGCCCTCCCACTCAGTCAATAAATACATAATATCCACCAAACACTGTTCCTTACGATCCTCTTCTGTCCGGACGATCACAGCATCCGACAATGGCCCATCACCTTTTACAGTAAACGCGCTGACTTGAATCCTGTAAGAAGTGAACTTAAGAAGACTCTTTATCAAAGTCGAGCTGTTAGTTGGTCCAGTCGGGTGACTGCCCGTACCGACGTCACCGTATCCCTCGGGATCCAGGTTAGAGTAGTGTATGTGGTATCCCAATAGAATGCCATGGGTTAAGTGCTGGGGAATTGGAGACCATTCTACGTAGATAGTTGTACTGCTATTGCTGCTGGCTTCAACGATTGACGGCGATGAACTCGGCTCTATAAGGAAAAATAGCGCAAATCATGTGAAATTGTCATTAAAACCTTTTCAGAAGAACTTTACACTGATATTTCATTGTCTGGGACGCGGTATGTGCCTTTATTACGGGACCAAAATGCATATAATTATAACTCAACCCATTGCAGGGATTTGCCGTTGCACAGCCGGGGAGTGTATGTATTTTAGGGACTCAGTCTCGGGATAAATTAGAATATTTAGACAGGAAGCCACATCGGCCTTAGATGGTTTTCATGCAGGTCCTCTACCCTGGTCGAATTGAAATTTGTTTTTGTGGAGAGAGGAAAACTGAAGAACCCTGCGAAAATCCCTCTGAGCAAGGTAAGAACTATTAACAAACTCAGCCCACATATGGCACCGGGACGGAATCGAACCTGGGGCCCGTTTTTCGAAGGTCCCGAAATGTTTTCGTACCCGGAAAGCCGTAGCAAATCCTCAAACATTATTACTTCAGAGCTGTTTTATGCACATATTCTTAATATAAACAGAGGTTCTCTTCATACGAGAACTTTCAGCACTATACACTTCTACGTTTTTAGCTACAGGTGAACTAAAAATGGCTTTACGGGCCCGAAAAGTTTCCGGGGTTTTCGAGAAACGGGCCCCTGGGCCACATTGGTGGGAGACGAGCACCCTCACCACTGCGCCATCCCTGCTCCTCACATAGTGGCCCTAGCTAGTGNTTTGCGAGTTTATGGACCTCGACTCCGTCTCGGTCCATAAACACGCAAAAAAAAGAACTTGACCAATATCCAGCCATCTTGACCTCAGACTTGGTCAATAATCCATACGTATTCAGACCAAGTCACATGACTTACCATCCTCACTGGTCCTAATCTCTAGCGGTTGTGGAGGGTGAGGTCCCAGTCCTTTGCTAGTGTATCCGGCCACTTTAATGACGTACCAAGTGTATTTCTTCAAGTTGGAAAGTGTTGTTGATGATCTGGTGCTCTCAACGGTTTTATGTTTGACTGCTTGGTAAGACTTTTTTGGATAGTAGGTAATTCTGTAGCCTTGGAGAATGCCATTTCTATGTCCCCGAGGAATATGCCGCCACTCCACAAACAGAGATGTGGAACTCTTGTTGAAACCAGTGACATTTTCAGGGAAAGCATCTGGTTCTGTGAACCAAAGTGGGCGTAAATTGTTAAAGGGCTTTCTAAAAGCCATTAATAATTCTTCAAGTTGTAACGCTGTGTGGATTTTGTGCACGTATTTCTCCGTTTTCTCCTTAGTTTTGGTTTTGATTGAGAAGATATATCAAATACGAGGGACCGTTTTTCACTACATTACAAAGACCTCGAAACTCTTCAAAAATATTACTCCGCTGCAAGCCAAATTTTCAGCTATCTTCTGGGCGTTTGGAAATGTGGTAAGACACGGTATGTCGTGTTTGATATTACTTATGTGCAAGGTAACGTTTGCCCTCGATCGATTTTGCCAATGAACTTTAGCAGAAACTTCCTGTGCTTCATTCAAAGCTTGACTCTTCAGTGGTCAGCGACAGTCAGCGTTCGTGATATTGCATGCATTTTCATTGTTGTTGAAAACGGAAATTCAAATCACGCTTTTGTTCTTGAAGAAAACATTTGGGTAGTGAAGGTGAGACCTGCTGATACCAGAACAGAACTGTAGAGAGAAGGGAGGACAAAATGTTTCAGTCTACTTGTGGATGCCTATAGTAAAAATCGTCAATGAGCGAGTGAAATTCGAGAATTGTGTGAGGCTGGTAATTTTATCATTTGTTTTCGAGTAAATTTTACTAGTGGCATCCTTATGCGACGTAACCAGGACTCGAAAGAGGTGCCGTCCCATTGTCCCGGACAAGTAGATTTTCCTTCTGGACAGGTAATTTTTCATTCTCACTTGTCCGATGGGCAAGAGATCAGTCAAGTCATCTGACAACTAAATCATTAAAAGAGCAAACTAAGACAAACCCAGAGCAAGCAAAATTTGAGAGCTACTTGTCCCAAGGCCAAGCTGGAATTCAAGCTTTTTTCGAGTCCTGGTAACACACTAAAAACATCACATATTATATCACATAAGGAACATCAAAATCTTACTGTCTTCAGCCGTCGTGATTTCCACACATTTGCTTTCAATTCCGCTTCCTTTAGTTGCAAGTCCCTCAACAGATACCACATACGCTGTAAACTTGCGTAAATTGGAGATAACTACAGACGTGGTGGAATGGTTAACCACGTATTCATTCCATTTTCGATTGTTGCCGAGGTCTGCTGCTAGGTAAGATACTTTGTAACCAAGGAGAATACCGTGTGTAAAGCGCGGAGGGATTGGGTTCCAACGGACTTCTATGCTTGTGGATGTGAGGTTGTTGCCTGTTACATTTGCTGGAGGTTTACTGGGAACTAATTAAACGGTGAAATAAAATTTTAACTATTTTTTTTACACTAGTTTCCTATATTTTGGGGGCGCTTTTGAGAAAACAATTGTTCCACTCGCGCTTGTTGGATATGAGATGATTATAGCCAACTCGCCGCTACGCGCTTCATTGGCTGTCTACTATCTTATATCAACGCACGCAGGGAATAATTGTTAAATATTTCTCGTTTCTCCTGAGAGTTCGAAATAACGGAATTCAACTGTATGTTAAAGTCGTGACATTGTCTCATCGCATTTAACGTAAGGACCTCTCAGTCAAATATTTTTACGTCCGGCCCTCCCACTCAGTCAATAAGTACATAATATCCACCAAACACTGTTCCTTACCGTCTTCTTCTGTCCGGACGATCACAGCATCCGACAACGGCCCATCACCTTTTACAGTAAACGCGCTGACTTGAATCCTGTAAAAAGTGAACTTAAGAAGACTCTTTATCAAAGTCGAGCTGTTAGTTGGTCCAGTCGGGTGACTGCCCGTACCGACGTCACCGTATCCCTCGGGATCCAGGTTAGAGTAGTGTATGTGGTATCCCAATAGAATGCCATGGGTTAAGTGCTGAGGAATTGGAGACCATTCCACGTAGATAGCTGTGCTGCCATTGCTGCTGGCTTTTACGATTGAGGGCGATGAACTCGGTTCTATAAGAAAAATTTCGCAAATCATGTAAGGTTGTCATTAAAACCTTTTCAGAAGAACTTTACACTGATACTTCATTGTCTGGTAAGCGGTATGTGCCTTTATTACAGGACCAAAATTCATATAATTATAACTCTACCCATTGCACGGATTTGCCGTTGCACAGCCGGGGAGTGTATGTATTTTAGGGACTCAGCCTCGGGATAAATTACAATATTTAGAGAAGAAGCCACATCAGCATTAGCTGGTTTTCATGCGTGTCTTCTATCCTGGTCGAATTGAAATTTGTTTTTGTGGAGAGAGGAAAACTGAAGAACCCTGCGAAAATCCCTCTGAGCAAGGTAAGAACTATTAACAAACTCAGCCCACATATGGCACCGGGACGGAATCGAACCTGGGGCCCGTTTTTCGAAGGTCCCGAAATGTTTTCGTACCCGGAAAGCCGTAGCAAATCCTCAAACATTATTACTTCAGAGCTGTTTTATGCACATATTCTTAATATAAACAGAGGTTCTCTTCATACGAGAACTTTCAGCACTATACACTTCTACGTTTTTAGCTACAGGTGAACTAAAAATGGCTTTACGGGCCCGAAAAGTTTCCGGGGTTTTCGAGAAACGGGCCCCTGGGCCACATTGGTGGGAGACGAGCACCCTCACCACTGCGCCATCCCTGCTCCTCACATAGTGGCCCTAGCTAGTGNTGGCGCTAATTTAGTTGACTTGGAAAAGGACTAACACTGCTCAAATGACTGCTCAAACTCAAATGATCATGACAGAAAAAAGAACCTACAGCGTTAAGGACCAGAGAAAGCGGAACTGAGCCGTTGGTTATGATGTATGGAACTCATTAAGTCTTCGGCTACAACAGAAGTGAAGATGACATTGAGATCATCACGCCAAAAATTGGCCGTGGTGACGAACTAGAAACGCATCAATAATTTGAAGAAATGTCCCCTCGAAAGATAGACTACGATGATTATTTGGCATCGATAAGACTTTAAGGGATTTGATTTTCCTGCATTATATTTTGGTTATAGGTGAAACCAGAATTGTAACAAGCCGGCGAGCTTGCAGTATCTGGTCCTGAGGCTTGGCAGTTCTTGATTGACCAACTAGAGCGCGGGTAGCCAGATATGAAGACATGATTGATCAATCATGTCTTCATATCTTTCGCCGCCGTTCAAATATATGATCTTTTATATATTCACTTGTACATTTCTGTAGAGCTAACATTGAGCTTATAGTTTTGTTTAATTAAGCTCAGTGCATAACACGATAAATGAATTTGTTTCCCATCAAGCCTTCAAGCAGTAGTTTTTATTTAAAACAATCGCAAGTCGTTAGGCGAGTGATTTACAAGCTATTTTCGTGTTCTCCCGACATCCCGCGTGGGTTTATAGCACCGGTATACTCAAAGAAAGAGCGGTCTGATGCGTGAATATAGCATCGACTTGAAAGAGTTAAAAACATGCACAGAAACCGACACTTAGCCTCACGCCCCCTCAAAAAATGTCAATCGCTGTAATTTTCCATCACATAGACTTAAAAAACCAACCTATCGATTTTTCTGATGCAATATGATGTTCTTAATATTGAAAGTCTATTCCGTAGGTAGTCACTGACATGTTTTAGTTTGAATATGCGCTGAATATACTCAACTGTCAAGCATGATTGTTTTATTTTGCATTGTAAAACGTAAAGGATTTCACCGTCAAGACGTGATGTTCAGATTTTCTTTCGGGATTGGGGTTTTACTGCTCGTCTCATTATCTACATACAACTACAGATGTTCTTATATCATTTTCATGGGACTGGCCATGTCAGCTATATAGCGTCTTTTAACCGAATTAATTAAGTGCCAGATGTGTCTATTTGTGCTCTTTTTCTTTGCATAGACTCGTTTAGACGGCTAGAAGTAAACGGAAGCTCTGTCCCCGCAATCGATTAAAGCAACGATCCATTGTGAGAGCGAGAACCTTTCAACAAAAAACAAATAAATAGCAAAGATTCACTCGCGGATTAAAAAAGAAAAAAAAAAACGATGAATCACTCTCAACAGGTTAACCTGAACAAAATGTCTGTTCCTCATCTAATAGGCCATTTCCGAAATACCTTTAGCCTCTTTCTCAAAGCGAGTCTTAGTGCCCATCCTTTTGTATGAAAAGGAGATTTCATTCGCACGCAAATCAAACTCATTTTCATATGAATGGTTGTGCACCAGGCCTGGCTTTGACAGAGAGGCTGAAAGCAACTCGGAAATGGGCTATTGTCTTGAGGAAATAACCAGCCGATAACTGAGAGAAAATAGGGCTTACCATCTGTTGAGGTGAAATTTATAAGTGAAACTGGAAGTGTCTCTTCTATTTTGCCTTCCATGTTGATGGCATCTTGAAGTCGAGTGATTCCATGATAATAACGGTGAAGAAGAATGACGGAGAAATCGGCAATGACGCTTCCCTGCCTTGAAGAGATAAGAAAATTGAGATGAAAAGGAGGAACTTGATGAAACGTGGTAAATGTGCCATTTTGGAGAGCAGGGATGGCGCAGTGGTGAGAGCGCTCTCCGTCAATGTGGCCCGGGTTCGATTCCGGCCCGGTGCCATGAGTTTGTTGATGGTTCTCGCCTTGCTCCACGGGTTTTTCTCCGAGTTATCAGGTTTTCCTCCTTTCGCAAAAATCAACAACTCTAAATTCAAATTTGATCAGGATTAGGGGCCCGAATGGAAACCAGCTAAGTTTGACGTGCCTCCGAAGAAACAATTTTTCACGAGAACACATTTTAACAAAAAATGCCAAACCTCACTGACTTCGCCCTAATCATTAAAACGAAAAAAATTACTTTACTCCTTACCTAAAGGAAAAATTCCCGACAGCGGACACCGCATTCTCACCCATGATATCTCCAACCTAGCAAAGAAAGAAACTGTTTGCTGTCCTTTTATGATTGGCTAATTAATCCCAGAATAACCTTATCCCGGCATAGTCAATCGAACTCAATTGAACTCACTCAAAAATAAATAAGCAATGGAACTCGATCAAACGTTTCATTTCCGAGAACTCTAGACTTTTGTAAAACCAGTGTTAAAAATCAATAACACGTTTTTCGTGGCTCGGGTTAAGTCGGTGGAAGATGTGCTTTTCGTATTTGTGAGACCAAATAACACGATCTTTGTTGAAGTGAGTTTATTCACCGAACTGGCACAATCGCACGTAATCCATTGGATTGTGTTCGACTGAGTTCGGTGGCCGAATTTAATCGAACATAATGTTATGGATTGAGTTCGACTGGGGTCGATTTATTCGATTTATTCGATTTATTCGATTGGTTCGGAAATCAAAGTCACACAAAGTTCGGTGTTCGATTTCGTTCGACTGCCCACCAGAATCTAATTCAATCCACGGGTTGAGTTCGATTGAGTTTGATTTCCGAACTATGTCGGGTGTTATAACAGATTTATATAGGTTTCTGACTGTTTTAAACATGGTGCAATAACAGCGCGAATCTGATGTAAAATAATTGGCTAAAAAGTACGCACAGTGGATATAAAACTTTCTCGGTGTTCGGCAAGAGACTTTCGCATCAAACGTGGGCCTTGTAGGTGTTAAAAGATTGTCAGCATTCCCTGTATTAATTTGAAAAGGCGAGACATAACGTGAAACATTTTCAAGGACATACATGTAGCCTAACATAATCCTCTTGCTCACCGCAGACTGAATTTTCAGGATCAGGAGGTCCCTCTTTCGATTGCTCTTTCCAGTTGCCAGACTCTTATCCCACTTCTCTGACGTAAGATTTACTGTTACTTTGAACACAATATCTGTAGAATCAAGAATTTGATTTTCATTAGTTCTGGAATGGCCTTGTTTGACTTTATGATCGAATACGTTTTCTTTTCTAAAACGCCCGATACATTAAAGAAAGTAAAGATCAACTAATTCAAAAATGCAAAAAGGATACTAACACAAAGCTACGGACGGTTTCTGAAAGTACTAGCTCAGTTCTCTTCTAATCGTATACCACGCACTGACATTACTCATCTACAGACTTTATTTGCGACGTTCTGTGATTTACAAATTAGTTCTACAAGGTTATGTACTAGCAAAGACATGACACGTGATGTTGAAGTCCGAAAATAAAGAGGAAAATTTCTCTCTTACGGTTTACTTTGTCAGTGTAGAAAATGGCTAAAATAAAATAGATATGTATGGTACATATTCAGAGCAATTGGACTAATTCTCTAAACCTTTTGTTCAGCAAAGTTGTTGTTTGATCAACTTAAACAACCTGATATTACTAAAGAGTCATACAACTAACCTGGGCATTTTTGAGTATTACATGCGATGGACTCCGTACTTGGACCCAGACTGATGCAATCCTGTCCACCGTGGGCAGGAGGGGGATTGGTACAATTTCGTCGTCTAATCAGCATGCCTCCCCCACAGGTACGCGTGCAAGACTCGAAACCAGTCCACTCGCTGTATCCACCATGAATGGGGCACGGGAAGGTGTTACACGGTTGCTGGTCAGTTTCGGGACCAAGACTCGAGCAATTTCGGCCACCATGTTTCGGAGCAGGCTCGTTACATTGCCGAGATCTTTTTTGTGTACCCCCATTACACGATTGTGTACATTCAGTGTAGTTAGACCACTCACCGTAACCTCCATCAATAGGACATGGCCTCAAGTGGCACTGTTGCAAATCGATATCCGAGCCGAACTTGGAGCAGTTTTGACCTCCAAACTGAGGCACAGGATTAGAACACTGTCTCGTTCTCCGAGCAGTGCCATTACCACAACTCTTGGAACATTGGCTAAACTCAGACCATGATGAATAACCACCATCTATTGGACAAGGACGCTCATTGCACGTTTTTACCTCCATCGCTGGTCCTATTTTAGAGCAATTCTTACCCCCCAACTGAGGCACAGGATTCGAGCAGTTTCTAGTTCTGAACATAGTACCAATGCCACATGATAACGTACATTCTGTAAAATTTCCCCACGATGAATACCCACCGTCAACAGGACAAGGAAAAACGTTACACGACCGGATGTCTATTGAAGGTCCAAATGAAGAGCAGTTGTTTCCATTGTACTGTGGTTCAGGTTCAGTACAATTCCTGTATCGCGTCATTGTACCATTTCCACAGCTTTCGCTACAAGCACTAAAGTTTGACCAAGACGAGTAGTTTCCATGAATTGGACATGAAAACACATTACAATTACGCACTTCTATTAAGGGCCCTATTAAAGAACAGTTTTTGCCTCCATGTTCTGGAGTAGGATTTGAACAATTTCTAGACCTTGTTTTTGTCCCATTTCCACAACTCTTGCTACAGACAGTGAATATTGACCAAGAAGAAAAATTGCCATGGACTGGACAAGGAAATAAGTTACAATCTCTAACTTCTTTTGCAGGCCCAAAAAGTGAGCAATTTTTTCCGCCATGTCTTGGCGTAGGACTTGAACAATTTCTACTTCTTTCCATGGTGCCATTGCCACAGCTCTTGCTACAAACACTGAAATTGGACCACGATGAGTAGTTCCCATCAATTGGACAAGGGAAAGTGTTGCACTTTCTAATTTCGATTGGTGGTCCTAGGAACGAACAATTCTTCCCGTTAAATTGCGGAGCAGGATCGGAGCAATTTCGCGTCCTTGTCATCGTGCCGTTAGCACACGTTCTAGTACAAGTACTAAACTTTGACCAGGGAGAATAATTCCCGTCTACAGGACACGGGTCCCAGTTACAAACTTTAATCTCAATCGCTATTCCTGTGCAATCTTTTCCACCATGCATGGGAACTGGATTAGTGCAATATCTTGTTCTGTTTTTAATACCAACTCCGCATGATCTAGAGCATTCACTAAATTTCGACCACTCGGTGAATCCGCCGTGCACAGGGCACCACCGACGCAAAACACAATTCTTTACATCTTCAGGGGCCCCAAGATTTGTACAATTGCTACCCCCGTATTTGGGTTTTGGATTAGAACAAAAACGCAGTCTTTTCTTTATTCCTATTCCACACGTTCTTGAGCAATGGCTAAATCGCGTCCACTGCGTGTAACCGCCATTTATCGGACAATGGTGAGTATTACATTTACGCGTCTCTGTATGTGGTCCCAAACTCGAGCAATCTCTTCCACCGAGCTTCGGTTCAGGATTAGAACAATTTCTAGCTCTCTGCTGTGTGCCATTTCCGCACGATTTGGTACATTTACTAAATATAGTCCATTCACTAAAGCCACCGTGTATGGGGCAAAGATTCGTGTTACAAATCTCAATTTCTATACTTGATCCCAAATGTGAACAATTTCTTCCACCATGCCTGGGTTGAGGATTGGAACAACTTCGATTTCTTTGCCTCGTTCCACTCCCACAAGAGACCGTACATTGAGAAAATTCCGTCCACTTGCTGTAGCCTCCGTTTATGGGACATGGTTGTGTATTGCAATCTTTTACTTCGAGTCCTAATCCCAAATTTGAACAATCTCTACCTCCGTGTTTAGGTTTGGGATTGGAACAATTTCGGGTCCTTGTTTTGATTCCATTGCCGCAGGTCTTGCTACAGTTGCTAAAAACTGACCATTCTGAATAATTTCCATGTGTGGGACACTCCGTTAGAAAACACGATTTTGTTTCTTCCCCAGCTCCAAGAGTGGAACAACTTCGACCGCGATTTTTTGGTGAGGGACTGGTACAGTTTCTGATGCGCTTCATCGTGCCACTACCGCAAGATACTGAACAAGGGGTGAATTTAGACCATTCGCTATAGTTGCCATTCACTGCAAGACAGAATAGATTTTAGACATAAAAATACGAACATGTGAGGTGCTAAAGATAGAGCAGTGGACCTGGGTTATGCATAAACTTCCCTTTCGTCTATCTTCTCGATTTGCAAATTTTACTCGTATGCCACGCTGTGGAACAGTATATTATCATAATACAGTATAAACCCACTGAAGGGAACGAGTTAAATTTCCGGTAAAGGAAAACTACTCATAAGGGTTGTCATCGGCATAAGAGGCCCGCCAAATTGTCGAGCAGACCCAATATATAAATCCGTCTGGATTCGCAAAAACATAGCCACAGAATTTGACTTGTTAGTGATAATCTTGATACAATTCTGTCCTAGAGCTAGCCTTCCACAAGGCTTATAGTTGTTCAAATAAAGGAAATAACTCTCCTGTATGACGTTTAAGGCCAGGAAGACTAAATTTACCCTCTTTTCATTGAAAGACGAATTGCACAATTGCCTAGTCCATTGCACGTCTGAGCCCTAAATTGATGTGGCTTAAGCTCTTTGCTGTCTGAAGCAATCACAACATTATCGCCGCAGTGTAAACGGCCTACTATTACGGGGCTAAATGTCGACCCGTCTACACATCTCAAGACCCTTTAATGTACGATAATGGACGACGCTTGCTAACAAATCGTTAGACTTGCACCTTCATTGGACTTAATGATGTCCTCGGGCAGACTTCCTTTAGACAGCAGTTATAGAACGCTCATTCGGTCGGCTCNGGGGGGGGGGTGATAATTAAATAAATAAAAACATAGATAAATAAATGAAACATGCAGCAAGAAGGTCTGTAAATTTCATACTAGGTAAGATTTGCAAGCTGCTGTCATAGCGAAAGCAGAAATAAATAAATAAATAATAAATTAATAAATAAATAAATAAAAAAACACTTGATTTAGTCTTTAATACTGATTTCATAAATCCAGACATATATTTCAACTGGATGACCCAGAAAGGCCGAAAAAATGAGCGTGTATAATTTATGTCTTTCTAAAGCATCTGGAGTTAAACTAAGGCATTCCCTGATCATTTCGGATAATTCTGTGCCTATATATGTCTGAATTTATGAAAACCGTGTTGAAGACTGCACCAAAATAGCGGGCATGGTTTGGAAAATTGGGGAGAAATATAAAAAGATATATAACTAAGCAGAGAAGAAGATTCAGAGAAGAAGTTTTTCGCTTACAATTTGGTGGATCTCCCTCCCTGTGGCGAGGGTGAAATTAATGTTAAAACGAGTCTCAATATTTATCCTTTTAGGACTAGGCACTAACAGAAGTCACATAAACCTATTTCCAAATATCTAGAAGCAACATAACCAAAATTGTACAAGTAAGTCGCTCGTAATGACCGTGCTAATTTTCCCCAAACTGGCTAATTGCTAATTCTTTCAACGTTCTTTCACATTGTTAAAATACTGTTTTGAATTTTAATTTCATTATAAGGTAAACATTTGGTAACATAACGTGAAGTATTGTGGTATAGAGTGTCCTCCTTGAAACGTTTATTTCATAGCGGTGGCTTAAAAGATTTAAACGGATTACCGCAGCGCTCAATGTTGCTAAATCTTGGCTGGATAAGGGGCTTTTATGGGATTACACATTTAAAGTTTAACGAGACTTATTTAATGAATTAGTGAATCAGTAGAATACTGCTGGTCCTCGGCTTCAGTTTCTAGCATTATTGAACTGATTCGAATTGAGCGACTTGTTTCTCAAATAACGAAGGAATTAAAATTCATGAAAAGAAAAACTCAGCAGTGGTCCATTCAGAATTTCATGGTGAACGAAAAATCGTTTTGGCTATGCATTCACCTGCTTTTTAACATAACCCATTCTCACATATTGAATGCCCAAAGTCAACTTTCGTCAACCTCACGTTGGTTGCTTACTATTATTAACACCTTTTTTTGTGGAAATTGAAAACCAACAGCCTTAAGTTTTTGTCAACAACAAAGTTTATTTGGATTTAATTTTCATTGAGCTGATGAACGCAACAAAGGGACTCACCAACCTGACCGAATTTGGAACGCCTTGCACAGCGTGTCGTCTGACACTGTTCGATTCCAAATGGCGAACTCGTCAATCATCAATCTCATGTTTTTCCTCTTGGCATGGCTTGCTCCTAAAATCAGTCGTGATGCTTTATCGTCGTCTAGAGGAGTAGCTTTTTCGCTTTCGTTGATAACCTTGACTATGGTGCAATTTAAGTAAATGCTCAAAATGCCGGTGTTGTTGTCCCATTTAAGTGCGACGTGATTCCAATGGTCGTTGTACCAGTCTTGCATCCAGTCATATTTCCGATGTAGAGTGTTGACACTGAAACCGACATTCTTTTTCAGACCCCTTCGTGTCCAAAGCGTAAAGCCCCGAGAGAAACGATGCTGTCCCAGCTGTAAAATAATTTTGTTGCCTTGGAAGTTTGGAATCTTCATCCAGAACGCGATGGTAAAACCAGAACGGCATGTTGCAGGCCTGTTCAGACAAGAACTCGGTAAAACGCCAAAATCTACGTAAGTTTCATTTCCCTTTAATTCGAGAGCAGATCCAACAAGGCCGGAAACGGTATTGAAGTCTCCTTTAATTCGACCATCGTTAGATCCAGCATAGTCTTTGGCAGTTCCGTTAGAGATGTCTTCGAAAGGCCAGTAGTGGACGGAATTTGTGTACCATTCGCTAGCTTTGAGAGAAAAGAGCGAAAGCAACAGTTTAAGTGATGATAAGATTTTCATGTCGGAATGGACCGGCAACACTATCAGCAAGACGCTCTTAAATAAGCTTTTCAAAATTCAAAGTTAAATTATTTAAAGTCACAACCTTATTGTCATGCAAACGAAACTGATTGCTGTCACAGAAGGTCGTCAGCAGGTTTAGATGGAGCGAACTTCTTTTCAGAGCGTTCTAGAAGAAAACTATTTCTCTTTGTTATCGTAACCGAAATTCAATCGCTTCGATTCGTGAGAAACCTACCAGGATAATTTTGTCACTGTTGGCTATCAAAAGCTCTTTGAGATTTGCTGTTTCTGTTATTTAAATTTTTAACAATGTTCTGACTGCAGGTGCAAGAATATACATACAAAGTCAACGCGCTAAATCAACACAATCTTTCGTATTCAAAAAGTGGACTGAGTTAAATTTCATATTTACTTTAATATAACGGAAACCAATTTCTTTAACTATAAATTAAAGTCACTTAGTGAGAAGAAGATATTTGCAATGACCAACATAGCAATATGAACAAATTACGGTGCGTGCAACGACCCCCTAAGATTAAAGCCTATGGTTTGAGGTTAGTTTACACGGAAGTTTAAAGTTTTCCTGTTTGTCTTGGCGCAAAAGCAAGACTTAACCATGTGTACTTAAAATTCCCCATTATATTATAGGATTTGTTTTATACTGTGGCTTGTAATTGGATTCAAGAAAAGGCACACTTTTTGTGGTTTTTAAAAGAAAACAACTGGGAAAATAATCACTTCGTTTCAAATTCGCAACAATTGTAGTGACTCGACAAATGGTCGAGCAAACTTGAAACATACTAGGCAGAAACCATACATCTACTAACATAAGCGATTAAAGGCCAAGGTAACGAATTTATTAACTTCTATCAGCGTGACTAGATAAATATGACTTACAGTCGAAATCTTTTGTGAATTAATTATTCAATGATAATTTTTCAGCCCAAGGTAATTACAGCACTCTACAAAGTGCACAATACTAGGTAAATTCTCCACGAGCAATTGAACATGAACATTCACTATGTATTAAATCAAACTTAATTTTTTTTTTTTCTCTCGTTGTGTCAAACAACAGCAAAAAAGAGCAACTTTACTCTCGGCTTTTATTTCACTTAAAAACGAAGCCGAACGAATTGCTAATTCAGAAAGATGCTGTTTTTGTTTTGAAAATGCAATTTAGCCCTGCATTTCATAAAGACCGAACAAATCAGCAGAAAGAGAAAATCGTTAGGGGGCAATGTTGTTAAAAAGATACCAATAAAAGAAAACTATGCAAACGGATTTTCATTATAAATTAAAAAACGTAAGAAACGTTGGCTTTTTTACTTTTATTACTCATTTTTGAAGGATCGTAGTTTCTTTTTTATATCGTAGTCTTCTTAATATCACAGGAACAGCTATATTTAACTCCTTTAACATGCGATTTTAATTAAAAATACTCCGGAAATTCGAAATTCAATAATTCAAGTATGAACGAAATATTGCTGCACTAAAATAAATGAAAATATGCCTTGAAGTGCTTGCTTTTTTCCACAAAAGAGATCAAAATATCTAAACAGTCAGGGGCAGAGCAGGAAATGGAAGCATTGGAAGCAGTGTTGGTCAGAAAACAAAATAACTAAAAATAACACTCTAATTTAAGGAATCATATGATTTACCTTGGTCTATTAAAATAGCCGGGAAACTTGGACAAGCTTGGGTTTTGAGGAAATAAAATATTACGTCGATGGTGATTTAATCAGAAAGAGAGGTTTTTAGTAATTTAACACATACGAGTATGAATGAAATATCACTTTATTAGTGAAAGTGAAACCGTCGCAGAAACCTTTGTAATTTCCGCAAAAGATAACGCTCTTGTGAAAAATAATAGAAGAACCAAGTAAATAATTCAGGTCTTTAAGCAAAACAACTCAGTGGTGCAGTCTGAGTTTAGGAAAGAAAACATACGGCTTTATTGATCTAAGACAAGGAAGAATCATGTAATGTCATATTTTAACCAGCAGTAAAAATAACGGAATCATGTTTCGCTGAAGCAAACTAACGCATTTAAATAAAGCATTGTACCTCACAGCATGCATATTGACAGTGGGGAAGCCATGATATAGTTTTCTCTCTTTTTGTTTTGCCTTAAAATGATAAAAGAATATAATTCTATCCATATATGTTCCACTATGAAGTTATGGATAAGAGGTCGAGTAAAACATTACTACAAATATGCATAAGTCTCAAATCAAAATAGTTCATAGCCGTGAATTAAGCAAAAAGTGTGTGTGCGTCCTAATATGTCTTTTCTGCATAAGTTCCGTATTTTAACAATTTCCTAGGAGGTTTTGAAGGCGTGTAATCGCGGGAAATCCTTTTTCTGAAAGAATACAAGTGGACCCGAATGGGTTGTGTTTAAGTACGCTTTGATATTGGGTTTTAGATTCACAGCTCTTTTCTTATCTTGCTTCTTCTATTCGATTTTAGCATTTACTTTTTTCCCTACATCTTATTGCAATGAAGCTACGTGAAAAACAACAACAAAAGCAATTCCGAACACTTTGCATTTTAAGGAAAAGGTTGAAGGGTGATACTGCTTTGGGGTATATGTACTAATCCCATGTAAGAGATACTTTATTGGCGGAGATAGGACGATTCACTGTACTGCGTTCCATCGTCATGCAATTGGCAGTGTGAGATTTAAAAACTGGGGTACTCGTTTGCCATTTTGTGGCCAAAAACTGTAAGACCTGAAGTGACGAAAATTTCTCCGCTATCTGATCAAAAGAAAGCCTACTTTCAACCACTCCAGTTCCCCTCCCGCTACGTGTACACTACCGCTGAATCCGCCCATGCATAAGAATTAAATAATGATAAAATCATGTTAGCCTTGAAGATTGTCCTTCTGTAAGATAATGACCGTCTTGATTAAAGGTTCCGACTACGGTCCTATCGTAATTTTTAAAAAAGCTGTAAAGGTGCGGTAAGATCTGCCTCCTAATTAATCAGTGTCAGTGGGAAATATTACTTTTTCTTATCAATAGGCCAGGTTCTATATCTTAATATTCTGACATGGCTCCAAGGCTTTCAGGACAAAATTGCAATTTTGTTAAGTTTTTTTTGTCCATCAATTCCCAAAAGAGACTTGAATACAAAGAAAACACCATCAAATATAGAAGTCCTGAAAGCCTCCGAGGCATGTAAGAATATTGATATATCGAGCTTGGCCCTTTGTCGTGTGTTACTTGAAATGCTAATTTGGAACTTATCGATACAAATGAAGATCTCCTATTTGTGGTTTTCATTTTATTTCCCTCATCTGCCCTTTGACAATACAATTACACTGCAAGGCGAACTTTTGTGTCCAGCCTTCTTTAGGTAAAGAGGACCGTAAGTGCTTTCTCGACAACAAAAAACTAACTACAGTAACTCCCTAATGTACAAATTGGAATATCAGAATCTTTATGTTCCAGTAGGTTAATCTTCGGTTAAAATCACTGCCTACGGACACATCGAAAGCTAATATTTTAAACTTGATTAAGTTTGAGTTGCTGCAATAATAGTTTGGTTTATTTGTTTGATCCTGTTAAATAATATCGCACCTGGGCTTTGGCTATTTCCTTGAAAAGCAATAACGTCTTTTTATTCCATCTCTTTCTGATCTTTTAGTTTGGCAATCGCGAACAAAATTCTATTTTCAATTTTTTTAGAGTGAATTGGAGTCAAAATGCTCTCTTGCTTGCAATCGTTTCAAATCACAGCGCAGTTAAGTGATCGGGTACTATCTACCCTTGCCAAACCTGGCATCGTTTGAAATTAGCTAAATTTTACCAATCGAATATGGAAAATTTGTTCCTGGGGCTTTCATTAGACGTATTCGTAATCAACTGTGAATTCCTGCTAATATGTCTCGTTTCCTTGAATACGGGCTCAATTTCAAGGCCATTCATTACCAACTTGTTTTTGTAAATAAGCGGCTTGCTGTTGTAAAACCCTGCAGCAAATACATACAGTTTTAACATAATGTGTATTTGAAGTGCCATACGAAGATTCTTGGGTGGTGCAAACGATCTATAGCTTTCACTTGAACCAGACGTTCGAAAGCTCTTTTGCTTAATTTTTGGATTGTTTATTAATTTATTTCTTTTATTATTACTTTGCGTAATGTTCGTCAATTCTACAATTTCCTCTTTCACGTACTTGACGTTGCTTGAACTGGAAATCTCACTACTTGGATTATTACGATATTTGCCGTTTGCAAGCACCTCCCTTTAACGAAACTTCAAGAAACATTACTGTTGCTAAGTTTTTGTATTGTCGACTTGATCTATTGTTTTGAAGAAAGGTGAATTTTTCCTGAAGGTTCAAACATAAATTGCATTAAGCTTGTTTTATTTTCAGTCTGTGTGAAGTTTCGAGCTCGGAATTTCTTTCCAACGAATGTCTTTTTTTTTCGTTTGACAATGTTTTTACGTAAAGGAAGGAAATGAGAGAGCAAAAATTTCAAAACCTAAGCGACTAATCGTTTTAAATGATTTTTAAAATGGCCATGCTCTTTCAGATAATAACTTGAAAACCATAAATAGAGAAGGAGCGTCATTCTTTCTGTTAAATGCTTCTAAAGGATAACATCTTATATGTTAAGCCTGCCCCAGAACAACGATATTAAACTTACCTTTCAAGTACAGTAGCTTGCGGCCATTGCTCGCGACCTATAGGAGAGAAACCAAATTCGGGTTTTCGACTGAGAAACACTGCAAACTGAGACTAAGTAAATGATATTCCTGGGTATACATAACAATTGTAACTTGTTAATATCATTACCTTCTCTCTAGCATGTCTCTGTTGGATACACAATATGCAAACTTGAAGAACCAAGATCAACAATGTACACATTAGGTTCCAAGGCTAACGTTAACCTTCGTCGAGAAAATGTAAGCTTGTCGCCTCGCAAGTCCTCTCACAGGGGCGAAAACGCACTGAACGGTGCTCTGGGTTCTTACTCAACCTACTGTTTCTTACATGGAGGCCGAATCCCGAATGAGTCAGTTCTATGGATGCCCTATACTGTGCTTTATCTTGTTATCTTATCTGCACCAAAATACTTCAAAGAAATGCGGGAAAATGGAAGCGAATGAACAATTTAAAACTGTTAGCGTCACTCCTTCATAAATCCAGCGGTCCGACAAGTGATATTTCATCTATGAACATACACCTGTTTGGGGTAAACATTAATGTGTTATCATGCCTTTAGGCCATGACATAAAAATATGTACTCATCGGAGTCCCAAGAGAAACATTGACAAAAATTAGCATTTAAAAGGCGAAGAACAACCTCAGACAATGTAACTATGTTATGTTATGTAAATTGCTCTTGGCTCTCTATTGTTCTGCTGTTTTCTTTTTTTAACACAATCATTCTAGATCTTCTAGAACAGCCATTAAAATTTAGTTTTCTGTTTTGGATATTTAGGGTCCCGTTTTCATTTCGCGGTCGTGCACATTTCAGGTACTCGCGACGTCGTATGTTTTTGTTGCTTAATTTCGCAGAAATCAAAGATAACGCGTGTTGTTAACAAAACAAAATATTGCCTTGGTTCGTTATCATTCTTTGTATTCAATGTTGCACCATAAGTTTAAGCTATCTCTGCCTTTCTTTCTTTTTCTCTTTCTATGAACCTTCCCTTCGGGAAAGCCACGTATGTTGTATGTTTATATTTTCTAGCTATTCAAGTGTCTTACTGTGGCCACAAATCACCTCTAAACACGGCGTGCGCTCGGTTTAATTAACAGCTAATGGCGCATTACCATATTACTGTCATGCCTAACTCTTTTCACGACTACATTCATAGGCAAACACAGAAAGATGCCAGGACATTTAAAAATACTGTTTTGCACGTGAGATCATATCCTCTCACTAGTTCGTTCTTCCGAGATTTCAGTGCAAATTTCATTTATTTTACTTCCTTTGCCCTGACAAAAAAGAGTGGAGCAGAATTGCATAAAACCGATCAATTGAAGCATTCACCGAAGTTCATGAAATGCATGGTAATTATTATAAATCCTCTCACTTGCATGATTTACGGAAAATCTACATACGCCTTCTCATCTACTAGAACATTTTCCCAGAACTTACGTTGTAAAAACGCCGCCACATCTAATTTCAATTAGCCGTGATAGACAATGTAATTCAAACTGAACGTCCTCAAAAGTCGAAAAATCACCAATTTTACATCCAAAAGGATTAACATACACGCCAGAACGAAGACTGCTTTTGTCGCCGTCTTGTTAATAATGTATATAATTGTGGTTTCGTTCTTGAGTCAATTTTGAATAATCTGGTTTGGTTTTAATTATCGATCGTTCAGTGGCCTAGACGCCCGTTATCTCTCTTTTTTTTTTTCTCTTTTGCGGTCCAATACTTGACAATTATCCCCTTTACTCGTGAGCTGTCATGATTGTATACAAAATAATTCATTTGATTACCGCCAGGCTATAACGGCCTGTGATTTAGCTGCCATGGATCGAGGAATATTTTCTCTATGTTATACTAGCTTACAGCATACTGACAACACTGAATTTTACAGCAATTTACAGATTAGCGTGTTTATAGAGCTTCTATCTTGCCGAAAATTGGCCAAAATAATGTTTATACAATATATAATAACAAAACAACTGCGAAAGAGCAAATGTAAGATTAAAAACTTCCTTCTGGTCATTACTAAAAACGAGTGATTCCAGGATGTTGCAGCTTAACTGAAGAGTGAGGGCGACATAAATATGGCAACGTAAGAGAATTGAGCCGAAATAAGCGATAGATTAAGATTAAATGTGCCAGTTCTAGAATTATTATCACGTTCAACAACATTTTAAATTATTGGGCCCAGGTTTATCGCTCTGCACTCAATTTATTTCTGCATTGATTGTGAAAATAGGCATGCCCTCAACAAAGCTGAGTGAATGAATGAAAATCCGATTATTTTCTGGTATGTGAAATATACTTATAAGATACTTATAAGAAAGTATAAGAAAGTAAGCGTTTAGGAGAGTACAAATCTTACAGTCACAGAGAAAAAGTGGCAAATTCTCCAAATAATTTCCATCGTTCGAGGATTTAGCATTATGTGGTTGAAGTGAGAATAAGAACACATTGAAGTGCGAATAAGAACACATTGAGTCGGCCACAACAACATGTCTTAGGTCCTACACTTAAGTTGTCTCAGTATTGTGTTCCCATTCCATTTTCGCCAAAGTTAGTGACAGAGGTACTCTTCCCAACGGGTAATTTAATTGTCGACTACTACACTTCTACAAATCTGAGCTAGAACTCTTTCCTGAAAATCAATTTCGCGATAGCGTGTTGAAAGATACAAATATGTTAATATAACAGATGACGAACTGATCAACTGCAGGTTTGACTTGGTATTTTATTACTATTAAGTTTCGTACTACGCAACTTGTGTGCAGCACTCATCAGATAAAATCAGATTGCCAAATGCGAATTTACATCATTACACTGATTTGAAATACACATGCGACCGTTGGAATTATGATAGCTACAATAAGTGAACGCTTTTTCAAAACAACGGGAAGTTGGAGATTATAAATAAACTCTGTTACTATTGCGTGACAAGAGAAGCTTTAAAAATTTAATATTTAGCTTTTTTCAGGAGGAATTTGTTTGCGTGTCTACATGGAGTTATCAATTCATTCCGTTTGTTCAGAGAGGCTAATAGACCATTTTACAGTTCTTTGCTCGGTGACCCGGCCTTAAAATGACAGCGAGGCTGCAGGTGACCTTGCTTTCATACACACCTCACTGCTTTTGTCACGTAAATGCACCTAGTTTGCATTAGAACAACTTGTTTTACACAACAGAAGCAGTGAGGTCTGTATCAAAACAAGGTCACCTCCAGCCTCGCTGCCATTCAAAGGCCAGGTCACTGAACAGGAAACTGTAAAATGGTCTATTCAAGTTTACTACTATTGAGCATTCTGAAAGCAGTTCTGCAAATCAACTCGTTTATATGTTAATATAGACATTTTACACCCCATTATGTTAACTAGCATTTTCTATAATAAGTCAAATGCACGATATCAAAGAATATTTAGTACATCTTCTGTTTCACTACGCCTCACAATTTTATCTAGTCGGAACAAACGCGACAATTTCTAAGTAAATTAAAATTTTCAAAACATTTATTTATTACAACAGTCATTTGTTAAGTAAGCGAACACAAGGAACTCTTCTAAGTGAACTAAGTTAAATAAACTGGCCGATTTACATAAACGGAACCATCAGATTCAGGCTTTCTTCAAGGGTTCAGAAAATTTCATAAGATTTTGACAGGTCAAAATATGCATGTTTGGATTCATCTACATGTAGTGTTTCCCTTTTCTTCCTGTACCTTAAAATTTATCTCTAAATTTATTTACCTCACTTATTGTCAATGACTAGCTGAACAAATAAAGCATTTATTTTGTAAAAGCAGGAGTGGTGACCAGAATTTTTAATTGTAGAAATGAGAACCATGTTAGGTTTTGGAAAATTATCTTCTGAGAATTCAAATAATTTACCCTTTATTAATATAAAAGACAAAGAAATGACGGAACAACGCCCAATCCAGAGAAAGGTTGTCAGTCAAGATTAATATTGTTCACTATAGCGTAAGATATGTAGATATGGACCTTACTGTTATTCGTTTTTCCCACGATGGAGTCATTTTGAGGTGTTTATTGCGAAATTTCGACCGCTGGTCTTCATTCGGCGAGACAGGACACGCAATAATTGAAAATACGGTAGAATGCAATTTACCAACGCCAGAACTTACGGTGAAATTAGAAAATGGCGCACCAACAATTTGACATCAATAATGAAGTAAATTGTTATAGCGTTGGCACAATTAAATTTGCCAAGCACGCGAACATTATCGCAGTAAGTTTCAGATTCAATTTAGGCTTTCACGTTAAAAACCGTGAAAAAGGAAGAAAATATGTACTCAAAATGATTACGGCTGCGACAAAAATGTCAAATTTGAATAGGATCGCATTATTGTTTAAAACATAGTAGATCCGTTATTATTCTTTAGTAGCTGTATTTAGCTAAATGCACATGGAAAAAGTGAGAAAACCTACATATGTAGTGCTTATTAAATGTGACTGGCTCTAAATGTATATAAACCCTGTATAAAAACCTAAGTTTTAAACGCGAGAAACATTGAAAGTTACTTCGTAATCTTACCTTATCTGACGAGGCGAGAAATGGAAAAATAGAGAAACCGCAACATATTATAAATGACATCATAATTTGGATCATCTCAGGAAAGTTTTTCCTTTCTTCGTATGAAATATTTGGTTGCACGCCTGGTCGATACCTGATGGCAATAAGGCAAATAGTTCTTGCCGTCTACATGTATTTCTGCTCCACATTCACAACAAGCGTCTATTTACACCCTGTTAATGCTTCAAGGCAAATGTACTCTGGCTTTGAGCCAAAAAGGAGTCTCTATGTTTAGAACTCAGAAGAGCTTTCAAAAACTCACTGAATCAAACCACAAGCGCGCCGGTACCAAGAAGGCAACTGTAGTATACTAAAACAAAACACATCATTTTCATGTGTTGCGTGTAAACGTTTTAAAGATGGGACCCAATCGCGTGAAAGCATTCCCAAATTTGATTTCCACAACTGTCACTTAAATTACACCATTCTATCTGGTTAATATTACGGCTTTTAGTGTCCGATGTTCTATGTAAACAGAAATTGCTACAAGTGTCGTAAGATTAAAACCCAAGCTGTCAAAAATTCCAGAAAAATTACCGTCCGTCCTATAGAAAAGGAGAAATGCTTCTTGATAATAATAATAATAACAAAGAAATAAATAGAATATTTGAAAATATGCATGTGAAGGTGATTGAATTACTTGCGAACCACGAAAATTACTTCAGAAACCCTCTAGAGCATATATATTGCAAAAACCTCGGACAGTAAGCTATAATTTCTTACTTCAAATTAGCAACTCTAGAACAATCCTTTTCTAGAAAAAGCTAGAGTAGAAATATCAAAACATACATAAAAAGTAGTAGTTTCTTTTTAATTTATCGAAATCCATTTCGTATGCATGCTAAGAACAACTGTTTATTGGGTAGATGCTTAAAAAAAGCAAGCAATGCAAAATATCTCTTCAACTACAGTTGAAACTCTAGACTATGGAAATCTTAATGCAGTTGATTCATAATGGACAGCCATGTTTACTAAATAAATGTAGTAAAAATAAACTGTGTCAACAAGAGACTCCTAGATAAAAATGGGTTTGATATGCACTCTTAATTCCACAGGAAATTAAAAATATAAGTCGTGCTTTGACGTCTGGAATAGATCGACTGCAAAGCATCACAAACGACAACTAATCAACTGGTGCAAATCGAAGTTATCACATCTCAATAACTATTTTCATAAAATTGATATTATAAGATTTTCACGTACTTTTATATTTTTTCAACCATCTTCAGGGTTTCCATATTAATTTCCTGTCGCATTTCTGTTTACTTGTTTCCATTGCCAATTTCCTTTGGGCTAGAAACAGGGCCAAGCTTTTCATTGACAGGTATTGATTGCTACGAAAAACACCCTTACGATATCCTCATCAGCCAGTGGGTGTTGAGCACTTTAGCTTTCTTAACTGTAATTCCCAAAGGGAAAACTTGCAAAAAACATTTCGTATTAACACGTATTCATGTAAATTCATCTATTAGAACAAAAACAATAGCGTCTTTTCAAGCTGCGAAAGACACAAAATAATGCCAGTCAGAGTCCTGGTAGTTCCGTGGCTAATTTAAAATGAATAATTTGAGAATTTTTTGTTCAAAAATAGATATAATAATAATAATAATAATAATAATAATAACAGCGTATTTTCCGAGAGACCAATATAAACACAGCTCGGGGCTTTTTAGATTCTTAATTTACGACTTGCTCTTGTTTGAACTTGCTCACCAAATTATATTCACAGAAATGCTATTTTCAAGACAAAGACGAAGCTTTATTAATGTTTTATTCATTGGAGCCTTGCAGGTGTTCCTTTCAATTTGTCACTTCAAATCACTATTGACCACCACAGTTTATTACGATGGGAAATTATTATCCAACGCCTTAATAATTCTCGAAAGTCTGAACTTTCAAAATTCTCTTCTCGCTTAGTACAGTCTGTCACAGTTGGAGAGAACGAGAGTAAAAAACAAACAAACCGAAAAAAACCTGAATCGAGTAGCACAAATTCGAGTATATTTGTTTCAAATTAGTTACATAATCCACTAAATTGCATGAACTTTTTATGCGAAATATTTTTGTAATGCACTCAAAAGAATTCGAGATTTTTATTCCTCTAGTGACGATCATGTGACTGCTATACGACAATAGCCCAAGTACCGAGAACGGCTGCTACTGTGTTATTATCATCTGACTCAGCGATTTCGTATGCCATATTCTGCCTGCCCTATTTGCCAGATGAGAAAGTCCAGTTGCGGAATTAGAAATGATGATAACGATGATTCTGCCTGCCATCCAATCATCAGAAACCAGAAATTTCGATAACTGATCCGCGGTTTGTGAGCGTAACTGAATTTTCTCTTGCTGAGGGAAACCTTTATCAGACATTTTCATAAATTGTCATTTGATTCTCAAAATAGGCGATTCTGTTTTACAAATCAAGAGACGAAGAAAAAATCTATTTGTGTTGTAATGGCTCCGAAGTTGATACATCTTTCAGATTAAAGTAAACATCGACACTGAAGAACTGAAACCATTTAAGTGGTTTCGAATTCGGAGCCTGTGCATTAATAATCCAGACAGATGCTTGATTGATTCTGCGCGTTAACTCATGCGTATTTATTCGTAATTATCATATGAACTACACAGTTCATTAACAACACTTAACAGGAAACTTCAAAAATTACCATCATCCTCTGCTACTAGGAAAAATTCCTTGAAAACATTTTAACATTTTCTGTTCTTTATCTTCCATTTTGATGAAGAACAATGTGGCGTACACTTGCCTGTTGGTGTTTATTTACATTGTGGCAAACGTGGGTGTAGAAACGAGCGAACCCTCTGGACACGGACGAAAATTGACGAAGTTTAGCAAATAGTTTCCATTATTTTACATGACAAATTTAGTGATAAGGATGAAGGGACGCCCTAGCAAATTTGCCGGCTGGTTACAGCCAGCATCCAACATTCTCTGAACATCGAGCGTTCCAGGTTCGAGGTCTGACCCTGGTCAAGTCACATTTCTTTCAGAGCCTCTCTCCATAGAGGAGTATAAATGGGTACCGGTGTATTCTTGGGGTGGCCTGACAAAATGCCGGGGGTAATCTGGCTTTGGGCTAGCACCCCCTCCGGGAAGGAGTAGCAATAGACTTAGGCGATAACTGTTGGCCATTGTACTCGCAGGGCTTACCAAGATGACGAAGCGTTTTTAAAAAGCAACACAAAGCGCTGGCCAATCATAGCTTATGGCTGAAATCATTCTTTTAAGCATGCAATGGTGTCCATCATAGCTTTCTACCGCCTTTAACCAGAAATGTGCCACGCGTTGAAAAGGCAATAATAGCAAAACTTGTTTTGTCTACCTCCGCCCTCTTCACTCATCCAAATACATGTAACATGAAGAAAGGACTTCTCATTTGAGTGTTAATGGGAAATCATCTATTGTACATAAAGGATCCTCGAGTTCTTTTGTTCGCATCACTGACTCTATCCACAGATAGCAGCAAAATAGATGTATTTTTACAAATTGAAATCGTTTTCGTCTATGTTTAAATTTGCTATTTGACGATTCTTACCCATTTCTTTGTTAATCAACAGCCCCTATTGACTGTTTTACTTGACATGTAAATACCACGACACACTGTCTAAAAGTTTGGAAATAAACTGTAAATATAGGAAAATAGCCAGCCTGATGAATTACAGGTAACTTGAATAGGTGCCCCGCTGAAACAATTGAAGCAGAATTTGTCCTTTTCTGTTTGTAGGTACCTCCTTAACTCCTTTTGTATTATATATGACAATCCTGTTCAATGGTAGCTTTTCGTTTCAGGGACCCGTTTCTCGAAGGTCCCGAAAAGTTTTCGCACCCGAAAAGCCGTAGCAAAATCTTCACCCTTATGACTACAGAGCTGTTTTATCCACATATTCTTATTATGAACAGAGGCTCCCTTCATACAAGAAGTTTCAGGCGTATGCACCTCTCTGCCTTTAAATACCGATTAACTAAAAATGGCTTTGTGGGCCCGAAAAGTTTCCCATATCACTCATGATTTGAATTTTAACGAACCATCTCGAACGGTTTGAATTATAACTGATCAGGTTAATTCAGTTGTTTGGATTCAACTGCTATTTTTATCTATGAAAAAAGTAAAGATCTCGTCACAAATTTCGCCGTTTTTCAAAAGAACTCTTCCGAAAGAGCTGAACGGTTTATGTGTACACTTTCTTTAAATGAACAGCGGTACCTGCAATTTAGCCCAGAATAAAAAGAAAACGGATTCTTTGAAATCTCCCTAGGATTATATAGGCATGTTATCAACCGGCAATAACACTAAGATTGACTCCGCAAGAGTGTAAGGACACAGCCACACAGCAACTACAGCAACGGTTAGTTTATGTTATTTACATGCATATCTTAGCTAATGTGTCTTTACAACCCCTCTGATTAGTTTCAAGGCAAAAGCATACCGTATTGAGAGATGACGACAACAGAATATAGAGGATTCCTAAGGTACTCATCTCGCTATCGGACCGGCATAGAGGTCGGCAAGTAAACAAAAGGGTTGTTCACTCCGTGCAGCTGGCGATATCTTGCAACACACCTCTGGACATCTCTGCTGCTGTATTGGTGTATGTCCTGCACGTTCAGTGGTTAATGCGGTATTTATCTTACCACCTGCAAACGGAACGTGAGTGGAATAAAACAAGGTTGGAAATTATGTCTTTTTCAGGATCACTAATTGGACTCATTGTATAACACGGTCGCCACGACTCGGTATCAATAAAGTTCGAAGCCAAAGAGTCGCTAAATAAAAACCTTCACCACGGAAACGTTTACGGGCTTCTTCTCAAATTAAAACAATTTTAGAAGATTCAGAGTTTGAAACGGAGTCCTAAAGTATCGCGTCAAGGTAAAGTTGCGCGATAATTTGGAAAGAAAAACAAAATGATAGCTAGCTCATTGTGAATTTACTTTGCGTTTGGGAAGATTTCAAAAGTATAAAAATCGGTAATCGATTTTGATGCACATGCAAGGCTTCCACTGTATCTCGCTCCACTGGTAGTTGTCAATTTCCTAGATGCACGTTATTTTAACTGCTATCTTCATGAATAACCAGCGTTCAACAAAATCGTAAATTACTTATATGAAGATGAAGCAATTGCACTGCTATTTTTAACAAACCACATATAAAAGTCACGAACGAAAGACTGAAGATGTAAAATTCAACCACACTTTCAACTGCATTTCGTAATTTACTCTAATATTCGTAATAAATGAGGCTTTAACACAAACTTACGTTCCTCCAACGTTCACCCAAATGAAATGGCATTGATATAATACTAGAGGTAACCTCACACGTTCCTCTCCAACGTTCACCCAAGTGAAATGGCATTGATGTAATACTAGAGGTAACCTCACACGTAATAATGTGGTGAGCGCGTCCGATACTACACAACTGAGGTAGTTAACTAATTATTCCCTTCACTGATGGTCGCAGATTTCTTAGAGCACGCTGGTAATTTTCCGAAAAAAAAATATCCCGAACAACAGCAAAAAAGCCTTCAATGTGCTTATAAACTTCATAGACTTGAGATAGATGTTATCTCTGCGAGCCCGAAGAACTATGGACTATGGACTATGCAACAACCGACAAAACATGCATGCGTTGATTGGTTAGTTTTAATCGTCGTTAAGCCATATAAACAAACACCACGTGCACTTAAGCATTTTGACAATTCTACGAGGAAAATCGTCTGATTAACAGGAAATGTAAATAGAAGACCTGGATATGAAATCCACTTATGGGGCTAGTTTTTTTGGAAAGGATTTCGTGTTAATTTTAAACTTTTTCGTGTTTCTATTTCGAAAGGTCAGCATATCGTTGTCGAAAACCAACGGTTGACGTACGTGACTAAAGTAGACACAACAGGAACTTCCCAGACCTTCTTAACGAAGGACAGTTTTATTTGATAAATTGTCATTTTCTATTTAAAATTTTTTGACTGGTGGAAAGTTCTCGACTGGTCAAAGTTTGTCCACTGATGAAAGCTTCTCGCAAAAAGAAAAATTTCTCAAATGAGGAAAATTTCTCGACCGATGAAAGCTTCTCAAACAATGAAAATTTCTCGAACATGGAAAACTTCTCGAATGAGGAAAATGTCACAAACGAAATAAATTTCTCGAATGAGTAATTTTACGCGACTATGGAAATTTTCTTGATTGAGTAAAATTTCTCGACGAAGGAAAACTTCTCGAATAAGGAAAATTTCTCGAATGAGGAGAAATTTCTCCACCGATAAAAGCTTCTCGAGCGAAGAATTTCGCGAACATGGGGGACTTCTTAACTGAGGAAAATTTCTAAGACCAAGGAAAATCTCTCGCAGACATTCTTATAACGCAGTATGCATGTAACTAAACAGAGAAAAGGTATTTCCCTAAGGCAATTTATTAGTACTGGCTGTTAATTGAAATTAGTAATTTTCTAAACGGGGAAATATGGTACGGAAATTCCCTCGGGAAGTTTCCAGAAAATCCAAAAATTGTTGAATTTCCTGCAGCGAACCATTCAACTGAAAACTCTAGACTCTGGAAGGAAAATCAAATAGACGGAAATTTCCGGTAAAAAATGTCCAAATATTTAGGTATACGTCGCGAGGTTGTCCACTTTTGTGGAAATTCTAGAAAATACTGTTCCACTCGTCATTGGAAATTTCCTGAAATTCAAACCAGAACCGCATAGCTCAGAGAATTCTCGCACCCTGATTTATTAGCTAGGCGAGGTATTCAGCGTGGAATTACGACTCTTGAAAGCGCGGCTTTTAATTCATTGGAATGGCTTTTCTCGAGGGCGCGTTGAATATTGCAACATTCCCACAGACGTAAATGAAACGGGGTTTTCTTTCATTTAAAAAGAAGGCTAAGCAATTCGAGGAAAATTCATAACCTGACTCGTGAATTCGACGTTCAATTTCACTTGACAAACCGACATCGCGATGGAATTCCCTCGTCAGGTAATGAATTTTCCTATAGAATTTTTCATCGAAAGGAAAGCGTCCCTGGTAACTGAATAAATTTACTTATTCTTACCAAGCATAGCGTGCACGTAGAAGAAATATCATGAATGAAAGCCGCAATAAAAAATAGTAAAATTCATTTTAGTGCCAGTTCTTTGGCAAGATGTCTTTCCAGCTAGCGAGGTGCAAATCCACCTTTCCAGAATGGAAGATAAGGTTTCTTGAAATAACAAAACACTAGTCAAAATTATGGCTTATCAAGATCACATTTAAATAAAAACGCATCCCTAAAAATCAAGAGAAGATTTTTTATCTGTCCAATTTATTTTATTATCGTTCAAGAACGTTTCATTTCCTATCAGTTGAGAGCTTTTTGTCGCTCGCGAAATTTTCATCAATCTAGAATTGACACTAAGTGAAACATTTGGAACTGCAGTGTTAAAAAATACCTCAGTAACTCTTATTCTTTGTATTATGGTAATCACGTCGCTTTTTTCGTGAAAAAATTCGATCTGTAGAGAATTGTCATTAATATAAAAAAAGACTTAATTCTTATAAATGCCTGCTCTGTGTACTTAAGGTGCTCAAAATAGTATTTTCAAATAATTCGACGAATTAAGCATTCCTAAGTAGGTTTTAAATTAAAACTTCTGTATTGGCTTTTGATCGATTAAGAGACAGCCACCATTGGAGAAATTTTCATTGATAGAGAAGGAGGATTTTTAAATTGAGAAAACTCTTCTACTCGGAAGATTTTCATCGATCGAGGGATTATCTAGACAATTTGAACAGTTTGATTACTAAATTGCTTCAGAAACTCCACGCACTTACAAGGTAAGTTACCTCAGTCAGTCTTTGGACAAATTTCCAACATTAGCAGGCGGACCTTTCGAAACTGCCAAATGGTAAGGTTTAAAATCCAGAAGGAAGACATTTATCCTCTCTAAGCATAGTTTCAGTAGATATATCGCTGTCAATGAACCCCATTTGCATGACTGACAACCTGTCAATAATGTTAGCACTACATCTATGCAAATTGCCATGTTAGTCACGATATCCTCAATCATTTTTTGCGATGGGCAAAATGCCACCAAACAGGTAAAAAACCCCCTTCCTCACTCCAAAAAATCGTTAAATGAGGTCGAAAAGGACCAGAGGAGATAGCTTTGAAAACCAAACAGGGGCAAAGATGGTTAAGATTAGGGAAGTCTGGGAAGTATTAAAATGTTCGTTCCTGACCTGTCAATTTGAAGCAGGTGGGTTGCATGTTTAAGACATATAGTGCCCGTTTCCGTGATTACTAGACTAAATGTCTGTTCTACTCTCTGTAATTACCTAGCTAAATACCTGCTTATAGCAGGAAGTCGATTTGCAAGCAGAAATGTGGTTGGGCTCGACGGCCGAGACAAGTTCAAAATCTCATCAGCCAACATGCCAGGGTCATTAAATGGTTTTGAATTAAGCTTTTCTGGTCTCAGGATAAAAATGTCAATTCTCTTTACTCAGTGTGACGTGATTCGTTCAATATGAGTTTTGAGAATTTCGTGGTGCATCGAGGGGAGTTCTCCATTCTGGTCCGCGCTGTCTGGTTGACTAAATATTCCTAAAATCAGCCGATGAGAATAGATATAAACGCCGCTTTTAAAAAGAAGTGACCCTTAACAATGAGAAGGTTCCTGAAATTTCCAGCAAACACAATTTACGTATGAAAACTAACAAGAGTCAAACGTATGAACTCCCAAAAACTAAAATAAAAATAATGAGTTAACTACCCGCACCAAGTCGAGTAACTTCCCAGTTCCGCTTTGAAACCTTGCCCGATTTTTGCACTCCAATTTTCATTTTCCCTCTTGTTGTTGACATGTAGTTTTTCTTTCACGGCCAACATTGCAAACAGTGCTTCATTTTCTCGTACATGCGAGGGCAGACGTGAGCGAAGTACGAACGGGCAACATCCATACGTGTATTATGAGTCTTAATAATTTTGAAAAATTGGCGCCAAGCGTATTCTTACCTGTGCAATGCTGGTCTATGAGTTCGTCGCTGGACGTAAAAGCAATTTCGCGTCCTCAAGGCTAAGCTTAAGGCGACGGCAATGTAAACATAAATGAAGCAACGCTATATTACAGCAAATAACCAAATCCCCTTTCAGCTATATATGGAACGTTAATGAGCATTGTAAAGTAAATAAGAGTTTTAATTCTCTGTTTCTACCCACCTTTTTTTGTTTACCCCGTTTTTGCGACGAAATCGTTTCATCTTCTTCGAATTTCTGTACAAAATAAAAGGAAAAAAAAATGGACACTACGTTGTTGAATACATTGGTGCATACATTGGATAACCCGTGGCCTGGAATTAAATGTTATTAAGAGACATCGTTCTGTGGTGTTTTTGCATGTTTTTAACAAGCTCTACAAGAAGACTGAATTGAAATGGGTGTTTTTAGAATTTGTTTTTGATAATTAACACACTTCTTTGACCGAAGCACAGAAGGAGGGTGTTTTGGGGATTACAGTGGGATAATCATTGACACTTTGTGAATGCGAAATCATTTCAATATCTGTTCCATATAAAACAAATGGAATTCATAACTATAAACTCGAGTTTCTACCGGCAAGAGAACTTATTCATTTCGTTGACATAAGATGGAAATCATTAAAGCAAACTCGAGTTTCTTGGCTATAAAGCGGTCTCAGATTATTAAAGTCAGTTTTTTTGCATCATCAAGTCAGCTAAACTTAATGTGAGTTACAAAGCACACTTCTTTTAGTTTACCCCTTTTTAAACTGCACACAGAAAGTGTTAAAGCATACTTTTGGTTATTTTATTAATCCAATTGATTTTTTCCGAAGCTAAACAGACATTTTACGCTTAACAATAAATTTAACGATTTCCACAAACGTTTCATTGATAGTAAAGTTGACGAAGATATTTTGGATAGTCCTAGATTTTCCATTTCCTTAATATTCAGCGAAAAGACCCAAAACCTGGCGAGAATGTACGTGAGCTTATTAAATATTCCGTTATTCATGTAGTCTTACATAAAAGGGAGGCAAAAATAATGGTACGTGTATGACGAATCTTTGAACGTGAACAAGAATGAATTGGACAATATGAAAATTTGTAATTACGAGCCCAATAGATCCGTTTAACAGTACCTTAATTTTATGCCACCGCGCATGTATAAAAACCTTTGTGCAAACGTTTTCAAATGAAAATGATCTCAACTGGCATGTTTGTTAGTAACTAGGTTCTTCTCTTTGGTTTCAATTAATGTGATAAGCAGTCAAAAAGTAGGCCGCTTATACCTTGATACCTTGCCAATCACCAGAAAATGATTCGGGTTGTTTTATAGGATAAAGCCACTCAAAATGAGTTCACCTGATTATAACCAGTGTTCTGTCTTTACAACATGAACACGATGTTCACCGAAATAGATTTAAATGTTTGTACATTTGGCCAAGTGCTTACCAAAACAACAGCTTTATTAGCATATACTAGCAAACTGGTAAATAACCATTGCAAATATTACTTCCATTCTTTGTTGCCAAATACAACATAAAAATGCGAATCATTGCACACTGCAAGGTTTCGTTACATATGCTAAGTACAAGAGGATATCCATCGTTCAATTATTAACCAACTACAGCAACGAGAAAACACCGTCCACCGTTTTAGTCCCTATGCAGTAATTTTTATGCCTGTTTCTAGAAATATGCACCTTCGAAATGTGTGTTTGATAAGTTGGCAGAATTTCAAACTTACCCTAATTACGAAGGATAATGACCGAACTTTATAACTTAACTACAAATTATCCCAGAACCTGTTCAAAATTTTAAATTCAAGAAACCTCACGTTTCCATGGTAACCAGGCTTTGAAAGGTTTGTTACTCCAAATTAAGGTTCTCTATTTTAGGTTTAAGCGTTTTCGGTTTAAGTTTCGTTCAGTATATTTTCAGTTTTGCCATTTTTTATCACCTTAGACTTTCTACCTAATTGTGAGGAAGAAGGTTTCTAGAATTTACAACTTTATGTAAGTTTCCCAACACGCTAAACATTTAGCAGGTATTTGAAAGTTAATGGGATTGATTTTTGTTTCACGTGGAAAGCCTTTGTTTGTTTCACATGCGTGACAGATGTGCAATTTGAAGGCCAAAAATGAAAGTCGTTCGGTTCGCCATGTACATTTTGTTTTAACAAAGCTCAGTCTGCCAAGCTTCGAACTTTTTGACGCCTATTCTATAAGCCATTGTTGTGGTGTTAATTTTGCTTTTGTTGAAAGTATCGTTTGCACATGCGTGACAAATGTGCAATTTGAAGGCCGAAAATGGAAGTCGTTTGGTACACCATCATACGTTTTGTTTCAACAAAGTTCTTTCTGAAAAGCTTCAAAGGTTCTGACAACTCATTCTATAAGCTATTGTGGTAGTGTTTATGAGTAGCAGACTCAACAATCTCAAATTTATTACAAGAGACGTGAGGTAGCATTTGAATTGTAGATCACACACAAAAAATGTGAATTCAAGCTTTGAGCACCCGCCGTTAATTTGTAGAGAATCGACATGGTGAGTTGGCTTTGCTTATGTAATGCAACGAAAAAATATATCACACCGTCAAATTTCATCCCAAAAGAATTTGGCCGCCCGTCATTTTTCCCAGTTCTCTTCTCGCCATTACATACCCTAAGTGACGAAGGACAAGCTGTCATGACAAAAATCCTTCAAACCGCTAAACGTCTGTTGTTAGCCGCCGAAAATAGTAACCTTAATCTTAAGGTGTATACGCTGAAATTGTCAGCAAATATGTTTTTCATTAAAAAATATTTTAACATTTTAGTTCTAGAACTCATAATCCTTACTGCTATGTTAGTTTTAAATTATTTTTCAATTACTGTCACTGACGCTTTTCAGTTCACCTTTGATCTCCAAGATATACAGTCACGTTTGCTATACATTATAATGAGGAAGTATTTGAAAAAAATTAGACTCGAGTTAATGCAAAAGTAATTTCCCGTACTAGTAAAAAAGAGAAGAAAGAAAATGAACTCAAAGAGAGGAAAGAGATCACTTTTCATACACCGTGTGAATAAAAAGTACTACGCAAGTTAAATTGCCTATATATCCAGCTTTTGTAATTTTTATTAAAATTCATATTTAGCTCTCATAATTAAGACGGATATCATATTTAAATAACGTATACGGCTTCATAAACGTTTAGCACTTTCAAAAATTACTTCGAAATGTCATTTTATTTCCATAACTCACGTACTCAGTTAGCTAGCTTACCACTGTCTCGAACACTTATCTGAGCATAGTTAATGATCTGAGAGATAACAATACTTCAGGTTCTTTCTGTACGTCTTCTGATATCTAAAAATATTGCAGTTGTATTTTTCTGAAAAATTTTGGTTATTTTAAATAGGCACAATAGCAGATGTACTATTATATGTATGCATTAAAAGGCAATTTGATTATGTTCTCCACATCGTATTTTATAAATGAAACGTAATGTCAACATGTAAACATGTTTTGGAATTTATTCAGTATGCCAGTTGTGATGAACATTTTCCCTGCTCGTTTTCATTTAAAGGTAACCCGAAGCGATCATATTTTCTGTGTCTATGCATGGGTCCTGAATTTTTCTTTTACGCCAAAACTGAAAACGCGTTTTCGGTTAGTTAGATCCGCATTGACTTTCACAGAGCACTTATAAAGTCGCCAGAATATTTATATAACGTTTAATTTCTTAAATATGTTCTGTAGCATAATATCGGGGCTTTACAATTCGAGCAACTAACCTTTACGTGCTGTGAATTCCAGATTCCT